AGAGAGAGAGAGACGCACACACACACACACACACACACACTCACACAAAGAAAGAGACAGAGGGAAAGGTGGTGGGGAGAGAGAAAGAGAGAGAGAGAGAGTCAAATTAATAGACTGACAGGGAGTAGGAAGGGGGGGGTGGAATAGATAGACAGGTGGACAGAGTGTGTGTGTGTGTGTGTGTGTGTGTGTGTGTGTGTGAAAGGGAGAGAGGGGGTGGGCTTATAGACAAATTCACAGATAGACAGATTGAAATGCGGACTGAAAAAGAGTGAGAGTGAGTAATGTGCATATAGGCACGCGCACACGCATGTATTGTGTGTACCTGGGGAAATTTGGGAGGGGACTGAGTGGAAAGAACGTGCGAGGGGTGGGGTGGTGGTACAATGGGAAAAACTAGAACGCATGAGAAGGGGCGGGCGATAAAAGTACGCTGGATCAATAGATTGATTACGTGGAGTGACGATTCGTCAATTTCTTTTTTTTTTTTCCTCCTGCCCTTCTTTTTTTATATTCTTCTTCGGCGCTCGTCTCGTCTGACCGTTCGTTCAAACTTCGATCGGGTTGTGTAGGACGTGGCTTTCCCTCAGCTCGATTTGTCTCTGTGTGTCTGTGGGAATGCCTGTCGGCGCGCATTACTGTACGTCTGCATGACTGTCTGTCTGCCTGTGTGCAAAGTCTACTAATGTGTTTGCGTGCATGACGGTCTGTATGTGTCACTGTATGTATGTATGTGTGTGTGAATGCCTTTCTGTAAGCATGACTGTGTTCGTGCCTGTCTGCGTGCATGCTTGTCTGTGTGTCTGCGTGTGTCTCTGTCTGGCTGGCTGGCTGGTTGTCTAGATCCGTCTGTTCGTGGCTGTCGTCGTTTTTGTCTGTGTGTATGTTTGTCTGTGTGAATGCCTGTCTGTGTGCATGTTTGTCAGTGTGCTTTACTGTCTATTAGTCTAGCGTCCTGTTGATTAGTCATTTGTTCCTTTATCGATATGAATGTGTGTCTAAGCATTTGCCGAACTGATTGTCTGTCAGATTGTCTTTCTGTCAGCCCTGTCTTATTTTGTCTGTCTCTCCATAACGCTATCTTGACTTCTGTATCTATTTGATATCCCCTCCTCTTCTTCCTCCTGCTCCTCCTCTTCCTTCTTCTTCTTCTTCTTCTCCTCCTCTTCGTCGTCGTCGTCCTCCTCCTCCTGCTCCTCCCTCTCCCCTTCCTGATCCTCCTCCTGCCCTTTCTCTTCCTCTTCCTCGTCCTTTTCCTCCTCTTCCTATTCCTCCTCTACCTACTCCTCTTCCTCCTTACTCTCCTACTGCCCTTCCTTCTCCTCGCTCTCATCCTCCTCTTCCTTTTACTCTTCTTACTCTTCCTCCTCCTCCTCATCCATCTGCATGGTCTATCTCTATGTCTATGTGCATGTTCATCGATCCCTCCGCAATGCCTGCAACCAGTTAGCTAGCCATGTGTTCAATACTGTTTCAGCGACTTGTGTCTCTGTCTGTGTATGCAAGTACATTGTATCTGGTTGTTATTTCTCTCTATGCTGTTTCTGTCAAACAGTTTTCACTATTTCAGCACTAAATGATGGTTATTGTATCAATCTGCTTTCTTTAAATAAACAGATATGTATATATACATGTATAATGTACATGATATAAATATTTTGTTTATACATGATACATAATGTATAAGTAGTTTGTTGCCGGGTACTTTGGTGTTGGTTGCTCCTTGTCTATCAAACATCTGTCGTCCTTATCTCTCCTGTTTTGTGTGTTTGTTACCCTCTTGTAACGCACGGTACATCTATAATCTTCGGTCCCTATATATGACTTAATTGTGTTGCAAGTGCCGTAAAACTCTTATTCAAAATAAAATGTATAATGTAAATATCACACACACACAAACACACACACACACTCACACACACACACAAACACACACACACACACACACACACACACACACACACACACACACACACACA